CCCTACAGCCGACCTGCCCCCACGCCACCGCACGGCATGGCCCGACCTCCGGGCGTCGCGCCGCCGCCACCGCCTCCCTCGGCGCCCGCTGGCGCAGCTGGCGGTCTGGGAGCGCTGGCGGGCCAGAACCTGGGCGAGGAGCAGCGGCAGCTGCTGATGCAGGTGCTCCAGCTCACCCCGGACCAGATCAACGCGCTGCCTCCGGATCAAAAGGCCAGCATCATGCAGCTCAAGGCCCAGTTTGGCCAGGCCTGATGCCTCGTTCGCCCTGCTCCCGGCCGGCACGTCTGGCATCTCGCTCAGCGCCGCAGTCGGGTGACACCCCCCGCGTATCACGATATGTCGTCCCCGCTTTGCCGCCATGTAATCTATATGTGCTAGCCGCCGCGATGCGTTCGTGCCCCGACCCCGCGGCGCCAGTGACGGCGCGACGAGGAGCTCGCCCGGATCGCGGCGGCGACCTCGCGCATGGTCCATCTGTGATCTCATGAAGGGATGCTGCTGTCAGAGCGGTGATGGCCGCCCGTCGACGACGCTGTCTCGTCCGGGTTGGGACATGTCGGGTTCGCCGCCATCTCGTCGTCGTCGGTCCCACGCAGCGCTTCACTCTCTTTCCCGTCCACGTACGCACCGCCAACCAACGCAATGCAACGTGCACCGACCGTATGCATCCATCCCTGCCGGCCTGCCTGTTCGGATACGCCGGACTGGCCTGCCTGCTGGCTGGCAGACGGGTCGTATGTTCGGCTACGCTTCGGACGAAAGGGGATCCACGTCGATCGACGACAACCGACCAAAGAAGCGGGGACGGGGACGCACGTAGGGCTCCCCGCCACGTTGCGCCAACGTCGCGACACTACGGCGGGCTCGGGTCGAGGTCGGGATCCGACCATGTCCGCCTTATTGACTTGCCGCCTGCCTGCCGGTGCTGGTGCTGGTGCGGAGCGAGGGGAGGTGCGCGATGATGCAACAGGACCGCGGCGACTCAATTCACCCGCCGCACCGCGCTGCGCTTTGCTGCGTGATCGCCAACGCGTTACCGCTTCATCCGGCCTGGCTCTCCCTGACTGGTTAGCGCGGCATCTGCTTGCTTGCTTGCCTGCTTCCGGCTCGAGGGCGGGCGAAGGAGGGGCTGACGAAGGGGCATGCAACCATCTCGCGATGGACGACGACCGTTGCACCGTCTCGGCGTGCATGTGAACGTGCCATGCCATGCCACGCCCCGCGGTGTGCGTGCGTGCTGCCGGCGTCCTTTCGGAGGGGGCGGGCGTTGCCTCCTTTGTGCGCCCCCCTCCCCCCCCCCCCCCCCCACCGCACGACAAACGACGTCGTCGGCAAAATCCTTCGTTTGTCGTATGGATGTGGGGTCAGTTTATCGCCGAGGATCAGAGGGGCCGCAAGCGGACACTGGTTCGATAGCTTCCTTCAACATCATCTTTGACCGACCGGCAGACGAGTTCATGCCAGGCAGGCCACGCTGCGCCATGGCCAATCGCGATTGCCTCCACGAGCTGTAGCGGCCTCGACAGGCACCACTCACCATCACGGACATGTCCCCAGCGATGACGAGGGCAAGGCAGAAACGAGGGTGGCGCTCGCCCGGCGTCGATGATACACGCCAAGCAGGCCAGGCCATCGTGCGGTACTAGTCCCAGTATTCATCCAAACGCCGCTTCGCTTGGCCTCATACCACTGTAGTACCTTTTGCGCCGCCCCGCTTGCGCCTGGACCGGACCTAGTCGCCACCGCCCTCCTGTCGTCCAAGGAGGACCGTACCGCATGGTCGTCGAGCTGTGCTTAGTTATGGCCTAGGTTGGGCTGCGCTGCTTGAGCTGCCTCGATGTCGATCTGGACGCGTCGGCCCTGATCGGCTCGGAAGCGGGCGTGCGGTTCAGGGTCCGCCTCGACGCCCACGCCGGTAACGATTGGCTGGCTATCGCTACGTGCTCAGCCGCCCGCGCACCTTGCCTCTCTCGAGCCTGATCTGGAGCATGCATGGCAGGCCTGGCGTGGTCGGCTGAGTTTGGACATCCGCAGCGGCTACGCTTTCCGAGAGGTAGGCCAGCAGCAGGTCGGGTGGTGCGTGGTTGGTGGGCGATGATCAGCCGGCCCGCGCCGTCCGTATCGGCTGGAGGCGTGGTGTGGTGCCCATCGATGAACAGCTAGGCAGGTAAAGGCTCGCTTGGCCATCGTCGCTGCCGCACCGCCCGCACGCCCGTGCTTTGGCTTGCTTGCTTCTCTTTCTTTCTTGCCTTTTCTTTGGATGCTTCCGCCGATCTTGGAGGCCGGGGCCGAGCCAGCCAGCGCGGCTAAACGGTAGGGTTGATTGTTGCTGCCGTAGCACCGCGCCACTTCTGGGGCGTGCATGCCTTTCTTTGGCTCGTGTCCAAGAAAAGCACACGATCAGCCAGCAAGCAGACTCACGACGGGGAGACAGAGAGAATGGCCCGAATCGATCGATATTGGCGGCTGGACCTAGAAGGCGGCGGCGGCGGCGGGTGGCGAGGCAGCACGCACACACGAGGCCCTCGTCAGCGACGCCGTCGGAGCAGGCCAGCCGGCCCCGGCTGACTGGCACGGCAGGCAGGCAGACCATGGTCGTGTCAAACGTTGCTTGCGGGCCCAAATTCCGACGCAAGCCCGCCTGCATCCGTACGTGGCTTTCCCAAGTCCGCGCCTGGCTCCGCCCGTGCCAGCAGCCAGCGGGCAGCCTCGCTCTCTCTCTTTTGTTTGCAGACGAGGATCGACGCCATCCTGATCGATGATGATGATGATGTGGCGGCTGCTGCTGCTGCTGCAGAGGTGGCGATCCACGGAGTCAGCCTGCTGGTCGAGGTCGAGGAAATAGCAACATAACTGACCGCCAGGAATCCTGGGCCCGCCAACTCACCGACGACGACGGCGACGGCGTGGCACATACCAGATCCGATGCCGAACCCTGGACGCAGCAGAGAGAGCTAGTCGGGAGGAGGTGTGACCCCCCCTCCCGCCGGCTGCTGCTGGTTTAGGCTGAGGTGGGCTGAGCTGGGCGCCTGATGAATTGGACGCAAAGTGCATACAGAGGCAAGGCAGGCCAAGCCTCCCCTGCCTGACCATGCCAACCTCTTTTGCAGCGCCCTGGCAGAGAGAGACAAGCAGCACGGCGCACACAGCGGGCGAGGCAGGACGAGAGGTTGATGTGGCAGCGCTGACGGGCCGGCGGTGTAGGTTTGCCCAACCCCACCGGCTAGCGTCGGGGAGGGGTCCAGCCAGCCAGGGCAGGGGAGGGTGAGGACCACTGCGAAGGGCAGGCGCACTTGATGGCTTGGGTTGAGTTGGCCAACGAGCCAAGTGCGGCGAGCAAAGGCGGCTACTGTAGGCAGCAGCTTGGGCTGGGCAGGCAAAGCAGGCAGGCAGGCAGGCAGGCCAAGGTTGGCAGCCGGCTGGCCTGCTGCTGCTGCTGCTGCTGCTGCTGCCCCTGCTCTCTTTGCCTGCAGGGCAGCTGACTGACCGTACCTCCTCTGTCTGACCAGCCGACATCATCCTAGCCTTAGCCTGGGAGCCCTTCCTTCCACGCCTCTCGACACCAACTCGTCCCTCTCTCCCTTCCTTTCACCTCGAACCTACCGCACATCGCCCCCCTCCCTTCCGCCACTGCTCGTCCTCGCTCCACCGTCACCACCACCACCACCACCATCGCCGCCTTCTTCGCCCCATACAGCCACCACCCACGACTGCCAGCACCGCCTCCGTCCAGGCACCGCATCTGCATCCTCGTCCTGGCGGCGATCCGATGCCAGCACTCTGGCCAGCCCGCCCGCCCACGCCCCGCCTCTCTTCCGCTTAGCATTCGTGCCCAAGGCCCTCTTTCCTCGCACACTCCCTCGCATTCCTCGACCTCATCGCCGCAGACAGCAATCTGACGCCCGCATCTCGCCGCCTGCTACACACGGACAGTTGCTCACCCTATCCATCGTTCCCAGCATACCCCATCGTCTAGACATCGCCCCCTCTCGCGCTGGCCTCCATCGATACCCCTTCTCTCCCACCTCTAGCGCATCGCTCCCCGGCTGGCCTGCTACCCGTCGCCCTTCGACGCTGCATCGAACCCCTCGCCGAGCTTCCACGACCAGTCTACGATCCCTCACCCAGTTCTCGACCTCCAGCTCTACCTTCGACGTGCAGCAGACACCCGAAGCAGCCTTGCCTCGCCCGCCCCTTCACGCATCGACTCCACCGACGCTATGGCCGCCGTCGATCGTCATTGAGCTGCTCTAGCCGCACTTGCCTTCGTCTCAGCCACACTCAGTGTCGGTCCGCCACGGCCCTACCCGTGTCTCGCGATTCTCCTCTGCGCATCGAGACTCGCTGCCCACGACTTGTCAGAGGTCCTCCTCGCCTCCTTGCTCTCTTGGCCGAGCTCCCCACCGCGGTGCACCCTTGATCAGTGCGACAGAGGGCCTCGACATGGCCTCGCTCTCGCAGCGGAAACCTGACGCTTCCTCGTCCTCTGAGCCTGCCATGGTCGCTCACTCGCAGGTGGCGCCGATGCCTGCGGCGACAGCAACAGATGCCGCGACAGCGAGGTCAGCCGTCAATTATCACCCTGCCGTCCAGACGAGATCGACCAGCAGACCGGTCAGCATCGCCCGTAAGCCCTCTGTGGGCGCCAGCTCGGGCCGCGATGACCTTGCATCGGGTGGCCTAGCGCGGCGGCCCGCGCTCGACGCCTCTCCCGACCGCCTCCGCCGCCCGAGCGCCCTACTGAGCACGGGAGCCAGCCTCCCCCTCCTGAGGATGGACGACGCCGCGCTCGTCCACCACAGGAGCGACTCGGGCAGGTCGACGGGCTCGTCCAGGTCCAATACTACTGGCGAGAGCCTCTTCCTCTCGAATGCCAGTCGATCCTACCGCAGCGGCAAGAGCGGGGCACGGCCGAGTTCGTCGCAGGGCTGCAGCCAGGCCTCGCATTCCGGCAGCCTGGCCCGTCGCACCAGCATCACCATCGAATCGAGCAGCCTCTCCCAAGGCCACCTGGCGAGGCGCGAGAGCTGGGCGAGCACCACGCCGACCAGCCCAGAGGACGAAGAGGGGCCTCACTACGGCGGAAGCGACAGCGCGGACCGCGAGGAAGCCCACGCAGAAGCCAAGAGAGCCTTGGCCCGCCTATCGGACGGCTTCGGAACATTCTGGGACTCGTCGGACTATTCCTACGGGTGAGTTGCACAGCAAAAGGGCTAAACGGCTTCGCCAACGCTGTGGCTCACGCATACTGACCGACTCGATCCGTCCTTTGCTCCTCAGGGACCGACGTGGCTCGGGTCGCAGCAACACCGATGTCTCGCTCCCGCCGCTGATCCTGGCCGGCGCTCCAATCCCGCCGTCGCGGTCCGAGTCGCTCGATCCGCTGGCGGTGCCGCTCGAGCAGGATGCCGGCTCGTCGCTGCTGACGATCCTTGATGCGTACGCGCACTCGTGGTCGACGGGAACGTCGCCGCACGGGCACAGCTCATCGGCTTTGAGCGATGCGGCGATCGGCAGCGGCGACGGCGGCGCCCCTTCCTCCGAAGTGCAGGCCGAGCTCTTGACGCACTCGGCTTCCGACCGAGCCGGTTGGACTGCGGAGGGCACTGCGCCGATATCGTCCCCTGAAAGCCGGCGGCAGTCTGCCCAGGGGCTCCCGCCCTCTGCCTCGGCGCCACTCTCGACACTACGGCCAGCCCTGCTTGCGCCAGACCGACAGTCGACCGCCACACTGCACGACCCTTCGATCGAGGCGAGGTCCGAGCGAGGCAACGCCTCGACCTCGAGCCTTTCGGGACCCTCGGCACCGGCGTCGCCCAAGGCGCAGCACTCCTTCAACGTCCCGCCGGCTTCTAAAGCCGGCACGTCGCAGACTTCCAAGTCGCTCCGCTCGGCCTTCTCGCGCTCGGCCAGGTCGTTCCGCAACTCCCTGATGTGGACCGCTCAGCCGGATCAGGGGCTCGGCGTCTACACGGCGTTTGGCGCATCGTCGCACAGCCTGAGTCCCTCGACCATCTCGAGCCTGGCACCTTCGCCGCAGCTGGGACCCGGCCACCTGCCGACGCCCTCGACCAAGTCGCTCACGCCCTGCTCGCCGACGCGCTCCGACTTCAGCTTGTCTGTGCGCTCCTCGCGAGAGGACGTGAGCTCCGCTTACCCTTCCGTGGACCATGCGAGCGGTGGATTCGGACGACCGCATCTGGCGTCTCGTCCGCAGTCGATCTCCGAGGCGATGTCGATGCAGCGGGATCAGAAGCACGCTTCGGGCCACAGCCCGTCCTACAGCACCCACACCCACGTTCCCGCCATGACGGGGGCCGATGCACGAGCAGAAGCACTGGACCTTGGGCGCAGCGCCAGCGGTGTCAATCTGGCCGAGGCTGCGACGTCCACCGAGGATCAGGGCATCCGACACGTGCGCTCAAAGTCTCGCTTCTCGTCGCGGTTCTCGTTCCACGATCAGCCCTGGACACGGACGCTCAACCAGATGACAGGCAAGAAGGCCCCAGATGCAGCCAAGCCGGCTCGCAAGGCGGGGACGGTGAGGGCGCCCAAGGCGAGGGACGAGACGCTCGGGGCCGAACGAGGACCGGAAGCCCCGGGCATGCAGCGAGGTAGAAGTCAGAGCGTCGGACAGCTGCAGCAGATGTTCACCGCGCGCACTGCCGAAACCAAACCCAGCGACTCGCCGCCTGCTCCGGACGGGCAGCCCCGGGGGCTAGGAGATGCCGGCCTGGCGCTCACCGTGCCTGCAAGTCCGGTGCTTTTCGGCCAGCCGCCGTCTCCGGATCCGCAGATCTCCCCATCATTCGCCGCCACGTTCTCCTTCCTCAACAGCGCCCTGTGGCAGGACAGCGACGACGTCTTCGTCGTCGCGCGAGAGGCCGAGACGACCGCTCCGGGCTCGGGGCACGCACGCGCGGCCAAGTCGGATCTTGGTCACACGACGCAGTCGCACACCATGCATGGGCGACGGGACGGGCCTTCGGGACGTCAGGCGGACCGGGTCGGGCCTCGCGTGGAAGCCTCCCCGACCCCGGCACCCTCTGCGTCAGGGCTCACGGCTTCTTCAACCGTCCGGACAGATGCATCGTCGTCGCCGTCTGCCTCTCGCAACGGCCTGGAGCTGTCTTCCTGGGCGCCTGACGTCTCGCCGTCGGGACCTCATAGGAAGACGCACCGGAAACAAAAGTCGCTCGACCCCGCGGCCCTGATTACGATGGCGGCCAAGGAGGCGGCGGCAGAGATCGACGCCCGCAGCAGAGCGGGCGGCGACCTTGGACGGCCGATTGCGGCGCAGCGTTCGTCTTCGCTCTACGGCGGCATGACCGCCTCGACTACGATGGCCTCGTACGAGACGGCAGCGTCCTCGTCGGCGCTCCTTTCCCCCGAAGATGAGCGTGCAACCTTCTTCGACGCACTGACGTCGCCCGCAGCGGAAACGCCGCCCCCATCCAGCAACTTGTTGGCTGGCTTCGAGGCGACCGGAGCTAGCCCCGTGGACGCGCCCGTAGAGGGCGCCCGGGATTCTGCGATATCGGCGGCAGCCGCAGACGGGGACCCGGCTGCCGACACCCGCCGAAGGCATCGATCCCTGAGCCGCACGCTCTCTGTGGTCCTGGAGCCGCTGATCGTCAAGTCACGACCGCCTTCGGTCAAGTCCCGGCCCCCGTCGATCAAAGGGCCGAGCAGCCCGATGCGGGGCGGCTTCGAGCTCGTCGAGCCTCCTCAGATGCCCGCGCGCCCAGAGACATCGCTGGGCTTCTCGCTCCGCAAGGCGCTGCGCCGAGAGAGGACCGCTTCGGGAAACGAGGCGGTCGCCGCAGTGGGGCGCAAGGCAAAGGCTGCGCCAACGGCCGTTCGGTCTGCTGGCGCGCCCAAGAGCGACGCGCCGAAGAGCAGCGTCCCGGCCACTGGCAGGGAAGAGCAACCTCTGACAACGAAGGCGTCCGGGATCCCCACGCTTCCTCGAATTCCGTCTGCAAGAGAGGTGCCTCGGGCGGCGTCGGCGGCGACCCGCACGCCCGAGAAGAGGCAGCATTTGCTGCCGCACCCCGCGGCAGAGGACAGGACGCCATCGACGCCCGACAAGCTGCGCGCGGCATCGGAGTTTGGCTCTCCATTGAGCGCAAGGTCGCGCTCGCCTGGCAAGGCACTCTCCCCGCCCTCAAGCTACCGTGCTCCTCTCCCGCGTCCGAAGACGGCGTCCAACTTCGCTCGGCCAGCTCCCACGCTGGACCGGGCCGGGACACTGCCGCTGCGCTCGGGCCGCAAGCCGGCAGCGAGCACGGCCACCCCGGCCTTCTCGTCGTCCTCATCGTCGACTTCGCCACCGACCATGGACCGCTATGCCGCGCCAGACGAGCCCAGCCCAAGGATGCAGAGCCGCATCGCAGCCTCGAAAGCGATCAGATCCACGACCAACTCGAGCCGCTCCGTATCGGACAAATCCCTGTCGAGCGGACACTCTCTCAACTCGTCGTCCTCGGCCAGCACCATCACCTCGAGGAGCAGCGAGGTCAAGAGGAGGACTGGAGACACTCGAAGGAGCAGCATGCACCAGACAGACGCTGCCGAGCGGAGCGCACCGGGGCCGCGCGCGCCGGCGAGGAGGGAACGGACCAAGAGCAAGCCGAACTTGCCCTCGATCAAAACGAAGCTCGATGGCGCGTCAGTGCCGGCACCTCTGCGATCCGCCAGCTCCCTCGACGTTCGGAACGGCGGCGCGGGCCGACGCAAGATGAGCCAGCCTTCGCTCGACATCGCCGATGACAAGGAGTTCCTCGAGGCGCTCGAGCAAGTTCGCGCCGTCAATCGCCAGCGCATCGCAGCGGAGGCGGCCGAGGCAGAGAAGGAGGCGCGGCTGGCGAGGCTGGGCATGGCGTCCGGCGTTCACCCGAGGACCCGGACCGAGCACGCTGGGCCGTCGATCGAGGATGACGCCCGGGGACGTGCTCTGCACCGGCCCGCCAGTAGCCTCTCGATGGCCTCGCGCCGGTCCGCCAGTGCCGACGCGCGCTTGGCTCCAGGCGAAGGCGAGAGGGAAGTCCGCGCAGACCGCAGATCCGTCGACGAGGTGCAAAAGGCCATCGTCCGAGCCAACGCGGATCGCAAGCCGGTCCTCACGACGGCCGTCTCGGGGCTCGAGTGGGGCGTGGGCAAGGCGTCGGGCAAGCTCCGCGACGGCGCCTTTGTCAACGACGACGACTGGAAGAAGGAGGTCAAGGCGCTGTTCCTGATCCGAGAGCTGGTCCAGACCGAGAGGAGCTACGCACGTCACCTGGCCAGCCTGCTGACGGCCGTACGCAAGCTCAGCACCACTGCGGCGGCCTCGGCGGCCTCGACGAAGCGCAAGACGAGCGGCAACCTCTTTGCCACCTACTCGCCCAGCTCAGGCTCCAAGTACCTGCCGGGCACGCTTCCCCAGCACCTGGCGACGCTGCGCACGTTTCTCCCGCAGCTGATCGCCCTCAGCCGAGGTCTGATCCAGCGCGTCGAGGCCAACCCGACCAGCGCTGGCGTCGGTGCCGCCTTCGAGGTCCTCGGCGCCCAGCTGCAGGCGACGTTTGTCAACTGGAGCACCATTGTGCCCAGTCTCATGGACGCTGTGCGCGCCGCCGAGGCGCCCAAGGCCAAGCTGGCGTTTAAGCTTGGCCTGATCCCTCTGCTGCCGCCTGATCAGACCGAGGTCGGCGAGTCTACGGTGCCGGGTGCCAACAACTCGCCAACGTCGCCGACCAACCCCAGGGCGGTCGAGGCGCGCGGGGCGCTCGAGAGGACTCGGACCGGGCCATCGTCCACCACTTACGGCGAGCCGGGATCGTCGATGCCTCCGCCGCCCCTCCCGACCCGGAGCGAGCGCAGGGAATCGGATGGCAAGACCATGCCGATGCTGGGCAGCCGCGCCGGCAAGAGGCGCAGCACGATCACGAGCGCCTTTGTCGATCCCCCGTCAAGCTCGGCGCTGCTCGGCTCGAAGCGGGCAGGCTCGAGCACGCGGCCGACGAGTCCGACTGGCGAACACGCCTCGCGCCTGCCCAGTCGCCCGAGCTCGCCGTGGGGCCAGCTCGCGAGCCTCACGATGCCGCGCAACACCGCTGGACTCGGCCGATCTGCTGCTGCCGATTCGCCCCAGACTCCTCACGCCACGCCCATCGCCACCCGGGCGGCGGGCGACCTGCACCTTGCCTCGTCGACGCTGTCGTCGACGTCGCATGCCTCGGCATCGGCGGCCAGCCTGGCCGCCGTCAAGAGCCTCAGCCCGATGGACATTGTCATTATGCCGACGCAGCGCCTGCCGCGCTACGGGCTGATGCTTCGCGACCTCCTCTCCAACACGCCCCCGCAGTCGCTCTCGCACGCGCGCGTCCAGCGTGCGCTCGGCTCCATCCAGCGGGTCGCTTTGCTCTGCGACGCAGCGTCCAACACGGCAAAGACAGGCCACGATGCAGGAGTGGGCGGCGGCGGCGGTCGAAGGTCTGTTGCGCCTCCGCCGTCGAGCGTGGGCTCATCAAAGACGTCGAAGTCTTCGCAGACTTCTACTACGACGGCGTCGTCGTCGTCGCTGTCGTCGTCATCCTCGTCGGCAGCGCTGGCGGCGGCCAAGGGCAGCGCTGCAGCGAGGAGATGAGAGCCGTCGTTCGCCGCAGCGCACCGCAGCGCACCGCAGCGCAGCACGATTGGCCGACGCGCTCGACTTGGCGACCCTGCGAGCAGGGAGCGCAGACGTCGTCTCGCCGCCAGCACCCCTGCTTCTGTCCAGTCCGTCAATCCGTCCATCCGACGACCTCGTGCGGCGGCAGTCCGCACGCGCCCTTCCTCCCTAATCGACGCGGACTCCACCGCCTGCCCATCGTCGAGCCATCCTGCTGTATTTTTACACGTACAAAGACGGGTCCCGAGGGCCTTGACTTATCGAACGCGCATTATCCTCCTTTGTCGTCGTTGACGCGGGCCGCCAAGGTGGCTGTCGCAGTGAGAGCGAGGCGCGCGCCGCGGTATGTGGCTGCCGGCAAAGGGAGAAGAGGGGCCAGATGAGGTGGGCGGGATACAAGTACAGGAGCGGGAGGGGGGCGCCTAGACGGCGTGCGTGCGTGCGTGCGAGTGGGGTGCCTGAGACTGGCATGGGGCCTTTCGTAGCCCTCGTTGGGAAGAGAGGATGTGCGCCGGACCGTAGCGAGCGCCACGCCAAGTCGGAGCGGGACGAGGAGAAGCTCCCTCCCCTCGAAGCCAGGGGTCGAGGGAGACGGGGACGGGGAGAGGGAGTGGGAGAGGGAGAGGGAGGGCGACAGACTCAAGACTGAGCCTGCATCTGCTGCTGTCGATCGACGGAGCTGAAAATGTCCTTGAGGTGGGCCTGGGCGTCGGCCGCCTGCTTTTCCAGGTACTGCGGTCGTTCGTTTTTCCGACCGACGAGGGAGGGGAGTACGTACGAGGGCGTGAGTGACCGAGAAGAGATGAAGGGAGCGAGACGAGGGCAGGGGCCCGGGGGCCGGGGGACGAACCTTTTGCTTTTTCTCCAACACTTTTGCTTCGTCCCGGTACGTGGTCGCTTTGGAAGTCAGGTCTGTTGTGATGTTGGATCGGGTGTCGGAGAGGAACCTGTATGTCGAGATGGGCAGAAAGCGCAGGGAAAGCAAGAGGGGGAATGGGGGGAGTGGTGGGTGTCAGGACTCGACGTACTCTATCCCGTCCGAAACGGGGGCGCGCCCGAGGCAGGCGGCCTTACATCTTGCCCACGCTGCGATAATACCCTCCCTCGTCGTCCGTCGTCGCCTCCCCGCCAGTGCTGGAACGGGGAGCGAGTTGGGAGAGGGTGAGGTCGCACAGCTTGGCCTCGCGCTCCTTGGAGGCGATCTGGGTGCGCACGTAGGCCAGTTCGCGCTGCGACTGCACCACCTGCGTCTGGATCTTGTTGAGAATCTGCCCGTATCGTCCGACCCCATGTCGTTTCGAGGCAGAGTGAGGGGAGAGGGAGGGGGGG